TTGCCCAGTCCTCATCAGCTGTCTAAAATTTATCCAGAAGAGATTACACCAAACTGCCGACATTGCAGCTGCGTGAAAGCTACCCAAAATCACATTCTTTGGGAACGTGAGGGTAACCCCCCACCAAGAACAAAACTGCCAGCTTCCTCCCTCAAGGGGTGGGAGTCGCTCCTGTCGTCAGCTGACTACCGTCTTCAGGCAGAAGTGGTTAACTGGGCCGAAACGGTCGTGGCAAGCTTTTGGCCACCACCCTTTGAACCACCGGCAAATTAAGTTTACCGACCTTTTTATGCCATCAATAAAGTTGTTTCTCTCTCTTGTGGTCTTCTGCCTGTTTCTGCAATGGTTTGGAAACGCTGGCTTAGACGCGGTTACAGTGTACACTTCTAGTACACTCTAACGCGGTAAAATAGATGAGCACAATGAGTGCGCGAATGCGTAGGAGCATTCCACGGCAGTCGTCTGCTCGATGCGCTGACTGCGAGTACACGAACGCATGCGAAAGACTGACAGATTAGCCCTGCATCTCGTTGCATTCACAGGAGAAAAACGAAAAAAAGATGCTCACATTCCCTTATTGTGTCTCATTATTTATCTAGGGCTTTATTAATCTCACTTTGGAAGTAAAAACAGGGCAAAAATATAGACAAGGACAGAGGAAGAGACGACACTGCGCTGAACTCGCAACTAAACTTTATTGGAAGACACACGCACATGTATCAAGCATTACTTCCCAAGTATGAAACACCAACTATCCCAACTTTCGCTATTATTGCGATCTTCCAATAAAGCTTAGTCTTTCTTCTTCTTATTATTATTATCTTAATATTAGTTTAGTCTTTAGTCTCTTCCTCTGTCCTTGTCTATATTTTTACGCTGTTTTTACTTCCCAAGTATGAACCACCAACTAGCTCAACTTTCGCTATTATTGCTTTATTATTCTCTCCAAGCAACAAATTACGCAAACTACACATGCCGTGTTAAATAATTTTCACCATGTCACATGCCACTGTTTGCAACGGTAGAGCAGAGTCGTCTACGTAGAGGACCAACGTCACTGCATTGCCGTGTACGTAGGGCCATTCATACGCGCACGTCATGCCCTCATTCTCTGGGCACGCACCCGCAGAAGGGAAGGGTAGCAGCGTTCATCTTGAAATTTGACCCATTTCCGCGGTGTATAGCGTTGCAAATTTTGGCAGACGTGATCATGAACGGCTCCTCTACGCATTGCACTTGTCAGCTTAAAATTGTCAAACCTTGTGAGTGGCCCCTTACGACGAGGGCCCTATTTTGCCACATCGCAACCTTCTTTGGCGCACTGGCTGCCGACAGCAATAAACCGACGTTGGCACAAGAGCGAGATCGCAGCAACGATGTTATGGAGGATCGATTGCAGGAGACGCTGTGGCATGAGTGCGATGCGCGTACAACGAATTCCTAAAGACGCTGTTGGGAACACAGCGCCAGCAAGTGAGAATTATTTGTGATGACGGCACTGTACATTACCGAAAAGTGTGTGGCCTTTTCTTCGTTTGCCATTGTGCGAAAAAACACTTGAGCTCATTGGCATGACCATCTATATGTGCTACCACGAACTATGAAGAGAATACATCCTTAAAGGCCAACTGCAACAAATATCATTTATTTACTTAAGCGTAAATGGCCATAAATATGTATTATATATACGATAAGTTACAATAATGACAGTGAAAAATCTTGTAGTCACGTATTTATTTATAATTGGTGCTCTAAATTGCCAGCAAACAAACGATGCAGAGCACTAGCGGTGTGCCCAGGCAAATCGGGCAGAACCGGATATGACAATTACTACAGAACATCGCCACGTCGCTCCTTGAGAGCAATCCACCGTGCCACTCAATCGCTCTTTCCTGCATGACGCCCATCTGCGAGCGGTCGACTCAATGCAGCGTGCTTGAAACGCGTCTATGAGTTTGTGCTGCCTTGGCACAGCCTAAAGACAGCGCGTTCAAAACACGTTCGTGCTGCACTGAAGCCAATGGCAAGTCAAGTTAAGCAGCGTTTGTGAATAAGGGGTGAAACAATGCAAACCCACCAGTGGGAAGCCCGGACTAGCGTTTCATAAGGGGCATGTTCACGCAAATTTCTAAAGTTAACATAAAAAAACATACACACTAAAGGGCGTGTTCACGATGTGCAACTCGAGGAACGTGGAGTGGACAATTTTTCTGTCCACGTCACTTCCGGTCAGCTGTAATGGCATAATTTTTTCTAGATTCGAGCTCAAAAACACCGTCGTTTGAAAGTTCTTTTCGAAGGTAAGCGCTTGTATTTCGAAGGCGACATTTGGCAGGCAGCACTACCTCTAGCTAGACTACCTATATATTGACTTTTTGAGGAGTGCTAAATTTCGTTGCAGTTGGCCTTTAAGTAGCCGCACAGCTGACGGACAACTCGTCAGGCTTCGACGCCATTAGTGAAAACTGGCATGGCTACACATAGAATGCATTACCATTGTACCCAGCTATGCACGCCCCTAGCTAGTTGCATGCAGTGCGTCGTTTACTACCCTGTCAGCGCCAATTCCTGTAGCATACCCCTGCGTTCGCCTTTGCACAGAAACATTTCTTTTTTCCTCTTCGTGCTCGCTCAGCACGAGATCAAGCAAACGTGTGACGACTATTTTGTTGAGCCAATGCAGCAGCGGTGAATTACCTTCGTTTCCATGAGTGCCGACAATGTGGTCCATATGATTGCAAGAACAGTAACAGCGCTAAGCCACTCATACTGCCGAATAGGCAGTTGCATGATTTAGATTGTTCGAAGTGTTTATTGTTGGTAGATTTGTCGCAATGAGGTGCTGCCGCATTCGTCCCATTATCACGCTCCCGTGAATTTCCATGCAGGTATCATTCCACTCGCGCCAAAGTTGTACTAATTACTGCATAATCTACTGTTGATGCCCTTATCGCAAATGCGCAAAATTGTTGGTTCTTCACAGCGGCATGCCCTCAAATATTCGTAATGATTGAATATTTGAGGAATATTCGTGTTAGTTGAAATATTTGAAATTTTTTAATGTGTGGTTATCGAATCAAATACGTATATTATAAATGCACCATTTGACAAATATTTGAAACTTCGGGATATTTACACAACCCTACTTTTGCTACTTCATTGAATGGTGGTTGGTTCTTGCATCGATCGTGGATTCTTTGCTCATGTGCACCTTTGTTTTACATTGCTTTAACCCATCATCTTGTAGGAGCATACAGCCAGGAACAATAAACACTTGGTAGTAAGCGCTGCATCTGGTGTGTGTTTCTTGTGCGGAGGCGAGTGTAAATCTGTGAGTGGGAGTTGCAGTAAATTTACTTAGAATATGTTGCATTGTTTTATTAATCTTCTTTGAAACAGTTGGGTGGCATTAGGCAATTTCCATAGTCTGTCAGAGCTGAAGGATATTGACCACATGCTAAAAAATAATCAGCTTTTAGGGGAGATGCGAATCGAGAAATGCAAAATTTCTTCCAGAACTACAAATTATTTTTGCTTTTATCTGTGTTCACCAGTTCAGTTCTCCACTTGCAGGAGAAAAAAGTTTTAAATACACTCCCCCAAAATAGGCTAACATCGCTTGCAAAAAGCACAAGGTGGCTACTAAAAACTAAAGAGAGCTCATTGTCTAGAGTTTCCAGTAAATCGTCCCCTAGCTAGTTGCCACAGCATTTCGCATGAGTTCACCAAAGCCACATGCTCAAGAGAACTATGATTCCCAAGCTCTCATAATAGAAGTCATTTTAAAAAATGAATCTTTACTGCATAGATGAGCGTTTACTTGTAAATTTAAAATATGTTTTTCTCAAGATGCAAATTTGGGCAACTTCTTGAGTTTTGACATCATATTTTTGGTACTTCCGATAGCCAGATCGGGATGATATTTTTTCTACATATTCCTAAAATTTCAAGAGTGCATTTAAAAGCAGATATCACTCATGAAGTTATTATGAACTTAAGTAAACAATTAGCATGGGCTCAGCATTTTAATGATTTTCACATTAGAACTTTTCTTGTTCTTTAAAATATCTTATACACACTTCCCAGTTAGTTATTTGCATTCTAATGTTAAAAAGGAGCAATGTGAGCCATTAATGGCTCATAACCATAAACAATACGTGGCAGAGAAAAAGTGAGTCTACAAAAAAAACATTTTACACACTGGCATGGTACAAAAGAAAACACTATGCAAATTATTATAAAACTGATTACACATTTGAGATCAGTGTAATGAAAAAACTGTAAACAGCAAAAATTTCATTTCCCTAGGCTAGAGGTACTGTAGTGGCATCTCCCCTTAAATCCGATTATGTGTGAGACAAAGCATGCAAGCAATTTCAATGTTGTCCCCTGCCACGAAGCAAGCCAAGCAGAATGTGGACTCTGCGAGCACGGCTGCACCAAAAGCACTGGTGCTTATTGTTCAATCCTGTTGAGATTGAACAATAATCTCAACAGGATTGAACAACAGTACGAACCAGGGTCCTGCTTATAATGTGCTTCGTTTTTGCCAAGTCAGTAGTCACTTTTGTTTGGGCTGAGCTCCATTGTCCCTGCAAATGTAGCTATTTCAGTCATCATCATGCTCAACTATAGTGCATTCATGCATTTAATGGAATAAGAACTACGCTGGAGACAATGTTAGAAAGTAAATATTGCCACCAGGTCACAGATTGCACTTTCGTTTGTGTTTACACAAATTTTCGTTGCCTGAAATAATTAAAATTTTTTCGACTCTCCTTTGCATGTGATTTAGTACAAGTAAAAATATTTCTAATATTAGAAAATTCACTGTTTCTGCTTTTGTAGGGCTTCTTTTGCTATAATTATTTACTTGTTATAGCATTTCGCAACTCTGGCACAAAGCAGAATGAGGACAAAAGAAAGAGCAAAATGCAACTGTACGAGCTGCAGTATGAGTGAACAGGGTTGTTGCACGCAATGTGTGACATGCAACCTACGTGAGAGTTGCCGCTGAGCTTCTTAAGGTTCTCGACCAGTTGGGTGGGGTTGGGCACTCGACCCGACTGCAGCTCGGCCATCAAGTGGGAAATGGTGTGCGTCAGGCAATTGACGTGTACCACCTCCACCTGGTAGATCAGCGCCTGCACACAATTAAACATATCTCGCTGCACATGCCTCCTTTTGTCAGGTGTCGGCGTTATCTGGCGCTGTCGCCTTGACGTTGTCTCCCGACGTAGCACTGTATGACAATAGCGCGACGCCCCTCGAATGCTACAAGATGCCTCTTCCGACACAGTGCGGTCATGAAACCCTTGCCCAATGCCGAGCGAACAGTACCCAACTAAGAAGGCCTTCCTTTGTTTCATGCCAGCAACATGCCTTATAGAAAACACTCATGTGACAAATGACGTTACAGACCAACGTTTCACACATCAAGGCAACACATGCACTATCACCAGACAGACCACGTGGTGTTGCAAAATGTGAAATTTATTTTTTACTTTCAAAGAACTTACATGCCTCACAAAGGCACTGTGGAAAGGGGAGGGGGGTCAAACACAAAAGTGTGAGCAATTCATGTTAATATTGGCACGTTATATTCCTCAAGTTTTGTTATCGCCCTAATACACTACACAATTCTCAGCGCAAACCGCGCCTGCAGTTTTCGAGGAGCTTCACGACTGTAGTAGATCATAGAAGTGTGGCAGCTTGGGCTAGTTGGTATGGCATGACGATAGTTATAGCGTGAGAACAAAACGACGACACAGAGACAAGAAGAACACGAAAGACACGAGCGCTAACTTCCAAGTGAGTTTATTGCACAGAGCACGAAAATATATAAAGGAGACAGTAACCACGTGATAAAAACCATATGGCACAAAGAGCAGAACATGAGTAAGAGAAAAGCAAAGACACAAAAAACAAAAGCATAGAAAACGACAAAAAAAAATTTATAAAAAAACGAAACAGAAAAGTAAAGATAATATAACTACTGGCGCGTACCGAAACCTTCGAGGTACCTGAGTTTTTTTTCGGACAGAGCCACGGAGGGCTTGCTAATACAAGGCACCTGTTCGCATGCCATCTGCGCGGCCTCGACAATGACTCGGGTGTGCTCGAAACAAGAAAGATGGTTTTCTTACTCAGCACTGCACTGAGTGCAATTGTGCGCCCCTTTTCAAGGACACAGCGACGCTGTACAAGCACAGAGATCAGCGCACCGGAGTCATTGTCGAGGCCGCGCAGATGGCACGCGAACAGGTGCCTTGTATTAGCAAGCCCTCCGTGGCTCTGTCCGAGAAGGAACTCAGGTTCCTGAAAGGTTTAGGTGCGCGCAAGTAGTTATATTGATACACAACAGCCGGCACAGCCTTGCTACAAGAAAGAGAAAGACGACGTTGGTGGCTGGTTGTTGATGAACTGTCGCCGTCTTGTTCGCCGAGCACGGTGCATTGTATTTAATTTATTAAATAAGTTACCCGTAACATTATTGGTGGAGGTGAATGACTCCCGTACCTCGATGGAGACGCGAAGCGGTCGCAACACCGGGGACTCTTCGGCTACTTCAACTGCCAGTGCCTCATCACCACCGGTCTCTCGATCCGAGTCGACAACCTACGTCACTCTGCCACCCCTGCGGGATCCTGGAACTTTCTCCGCTGACGGCACCATCGACGTTGACTCCTGGTTGCACTGGTACGAGCGGGTCAGTGCTACCCACCGCTGGGATCCCACACTCATGCTCACCAATGTTGTGTTCTACCTCGACGGCACGCCGCGTACATGGTTCGAAACCAACGAAGCCGATATCACAAGCTGGGATCTTTTCAAATCGAAGATCCGTGATCTTTTCGGCGATTCATCTGGCAGTCAGCTCGCTGCCAAGAAGACTCTCGCCATTCGCGCCCAGCCGTCTACTGAATCGTACGTCTCATACATTTTTAACGTCTTGGCGCTTTGTAGCAAGGTCGACCAGCGCATGTCAGAAGAAGAAAAAGTTAATCACGTCTTCAAAGGGATTGCTGACGATGTCTTCAACCTGCTGGTTATTAATAATGTCACGAGCATCGACACGATCCTGACAGAATGCCGCCGTCTAGAACAGGCTAAAGCCCGCCGCGTCACCCACCGCATCACGCGCCTGCGGAACACAGCTGCTACTTCCTCTTGTGATGACGCCGTCCGCCTAGTTCCCCGATGTGACAACCTCACCCGCATCATTCGTCGCGAGGTCGAGGCAGCCCAACCAGTAGCTACTCCATTTCCAACCTTCACCTTCACCGACCACTATCTTCACCTTCACCGACCACTTCACTGACCACAAGCCGTTGTCCGTCAAGAATTATCGAACATCGGCCTACACCCCATTTAACCAGTCTACTCTGCCGAGCCTTCTTATCGCCGTGACTCCGCTCCTCGCTTTGGTTCTAACTACTCTCGACAGCGCAATTTGTCCGGATGGCGTACACTGGACGACAAACCTATATGCTTCAACTGCCGAGGTGTCGGTCATATTGCTCGCACAAGATTGCGGCACAAGATGAACTGGCCGAGCACAAAAACTCACTAATACGATACATTTATTCTCAGTGCAGGCGTGACACGCGACTGCTGCATAGGGGATGCACAACTGCACACATAGTTTTCACTAATTACACAAAAAGAAACTTTGTCACTATGGGAGCTACAACACACGGCGCTTCAGCCAGCATGGGAATGATGGGTCGCACATGGATTTGTCTAATATTTCTTCTGTCGGCTCACTTTGGCTCCAAGTGGCTCTAATCTGCTTCGCCGCAAGATGAAGTTCAGCAAAGGTTTAGCAATTATGCTTCGCTACTTTGACCAGTCCAATCAGCTTGCGAAGTTCACAACACTCTGCTCTTTTACTTGACACAAAACTAAAGACACAGTAATAAACAAAGCCACAAGTGCACTTGAAGCTTGCAAGCATGAAGACTAGGCAAGTCGGTGTAGTGCCCATCATCCCCATGCTGGCTGAACGACCGTAGTGCCAGAGTTCAGTCTAGCAAATATTGCAGGAAAATATGCCAGTACACACTCGAAGAGGTCGGGACAGATGAGTGTGACAAGGCGCACCTTTTTCAAGGAATGCTTTTCAGTAGCTGCTTTTTCTCCTTGTGCACCGCATTATAACGAGTACCAGCATAACTCCTGACATCTAAAAACATAAACTAACAACGACTTTGCTGCGGCCCTGAGAAACAAACATTAGAACACATGCTGGGGTGTTTTCGAGTCATATTCACCAGAACTCTTGATAATTCAACTTTCTGATACATAAATGAAATTTATTTTTTTGGGTACACTGAGACTGTATGATTGAGAACCAGCTGTATTCAGTGCGTTGCTTCTCCAGAGAAATGTTTCAATTTGTTGGTGTTGCCGTGATGCGTGTGCTCCCAGCACGGATTACTCTAAAGGCCACAGTGTGCCTGAAACAAGTGAACGTGGAGTAAACAGAATATGGAAACACGGAAAAACTGCAAACAGAATATGGAAACACGGAAAAACTGCATCTTATACCAAAGCTGACTATGGCTGGATTTGCATGTTACTTTGGCTGTACCACAGCGCATCTAGTTTTTTTCAAGGTAGCCCTTGCTGGAGAACGTGGTCAAAAAGAAAGCAGGAGGACAGCGCCAGCTCTGGCCTCCTGCGATGCTGGCCCTCTTGCTTCCCAAGGCCCATTGTGCGGATCATGTAGCCGAGAGTAGGATAAGGCCCACAATTCAGTAGGGTTGAGAGCTGGGCTAGTTGGTGAGATATCATTTTAACATATGGTGTAGTAGCACAAATACGACGGGACACAAGGACAAAACGAAACACCGCACTTGCTACACTCACAACTAATTTTATTTCAGGAGCACCACTTCATATATGTAACCGATATAAGGCCCACAATGTTGACAGACCATTTGAAGTTTTCTTTGGTGCTTTGTAACCATTGCGCCTGCAGTTGCAGGTGGTGGTGGTAAACATTTATTAGGCTGTTATTTACAGAGAGGTTGATTGGGAAAGTGCACGGCCTCCCTTACAGAGCCAGGTGGAGCCTTTAGTCAGGGTCTCCGTTGGTCGTGGTCGCTGTCCTAACACACCAGACCATGGCTTCTTGCGCTAGAAGGTCCTGGCCGCTGAGCAGGGCTGCCTGGACAGTCAAGGAGCATCGAGCAGGCATGCCCATAACACGTGACAGGTGTCAGTCACCTCCTTCTACACAGTACTACTGGCGGAGGCCGGAAAAAGAGTCAAGGAGGCCTTGACGACGGAGGGTGGACAGACCCACGCCTTAAGGAGCTTCGTCCCTAAAACAAGAGGGAGGCGGGCAATCACCAGCGAAAACATAGGCGTTGTGGTCTTATAATGGCTCGGAGTGGCCAAACACATGATGGTAAGCTTTTCCAGTCAGATGAGAGTTCTAAGTGAGACCGCAAACACTCCCGAAATTTCGAATCATCAAAACAACTAACAAAATTTATTTTCGTCAAAACAACTCGCCTATGTCTTCCTGAGACACATGTAAACGAACTAGATGCCGCAGCTGCCTGCCACGAAAGCACAAATGAATGCTTTGCTTCATACTAAATTCTTTTTTTCTTTTTTTTTTTTTTTTTACAAGAACGCCAAAACGCTTCTAGCCTTTTTTACGTCTTTGCTGCCTTAGCCATGTGCCTTTGGATCTCGTAGATCGCTATCGCGTCGCCGCGACTGAGGTTTTGTGAGCGGCGATTGCGGGAAACCGTAGTTTCGTTTTCAACCCACATGCGCTGGCTGCTCACATGCCTTCAAAACTGAGTCGTTTTATTGCATTTGCCAAGGTTCTGTCCAAACAGTTTGCAGAAGGCAGCGCTGCTTTGACTGGTGAAGCGTTGCACGCACGAACACTTTCGGAGTTCTGTAAGTTACTTCATAACCACACATGATCGTGTCAAGAACGACCACTGTTTCGTCCACAGCAGTTATGGCAACAACCACACGCACTGTAGAAGACGGTAAGGTCGCACGCATACTTCTGAAGATTCGAGCACACTGTTCTCGACCTTGGTTTGAGAGTATTGGTACTAATGTTCATATCACCTTCCGCGATTAGGAAAAGTGTTCGGAACATTCTAATTTTAGCCCAATGGTCACAGTGAAATTTGGCTGGAAAATTAAACGAATTCTTATCTGCCGTGGTTACGCATCCCAGAGATTCTACTATACCTTTAGATGAACGCCTTTCAAATTCATTTATAATAAAATGCAGTAGGTTTGCAAAATGCCTAAAGCGGATTGACCTGCATTTTTGTGAATGCAGCGAGATCGCACACATGTTTTGATTTCTGGAAGATTTTCATGACAGCCATACAAACGGAAGAAATGGTCGAAATCCGGCAGAATGGGAGAGTTGGCAGGTATGCGTCGCTGACGTCCAAACAGTCATCGGTAGCAGATTTTTTGTGGAAGTTCAACCTGGTTGTCGACCTACACCAATGCCGCCTTCTGGACTCCACGACCAACCTGTTGGTGCAAGGCATCACCACAATTGCACCGTCCTTGAGTCTCGTGCAAGCACACACCCAGGTACCATCTTACAAGAACTTCCAGAGCTATTTCAACCACGATCACCAGATTTCCCAATCCTGCACAATGTCTTGCACCACACTGTCACAAAAAGACCACCAGTGCAAGCCCAACCTCTCTGCTTTCGATCACATGCTTCAATCACATGCTTCGATCATTTCGATCAAATTCGATCATATGCTTTAATTGGGTTTCGCTCATCTTTTTGCCAGCCCTTCTGCCTCTGCTTTACAAATGGTTCCAAAGAAAACAAGTTACTGCAGGCCGTGCGGAGATTACCGCGTATTAAATGAAGTGACAGTTCTCAAAAGGTATTACATTGCTCAAATTCACAACTTCACCACTTTGCTTCACGGTTGCTGCATGTTCAGCAAAGTGGATCTAGTTAAGGCTTGCCACCAGATTCCTGTGGAGCCTTCATACATTCCTAAAACCGCACTCATCACACCATTCGGCATGTTTGAAAACGTCTACATGTCCTTGAGTCTCTGAAATGTTTCTCAAACACTTCAGAAGTTCTACTAGGCCTTTGCACCATGGTGAAAGAAGATACCCACACAGTGCTCATCCACAGAGCTGGTTTTCCGCATGACACTTGGTGTACCAGGCAAGGTCGTTGCCTCGAAACCGAGATCAGCTGAGGCCCTCTTACAGCCTGCGAACTAATATGGCTATTGTTGGCCGCTCTGTCATAATAGCAATACGGTTTATACAAGGCCATCATTACTTTATACCAGCCATGCCCTCATCCGTCGTGCACTAGGCATATTTCATTACAAGTGCCTTACGACGGTCATTTTAATGTTTCCAAGCGCGAGTCTAAGTAATTTGCTGTTTGTTAATATATGGAAGGAGACGATGTCTACACAACATTTGAAGCTTGCTCAAAGGACGCTGGCAGCACCATTCCAAGCAGATAAACCGCTCAATGGCAATGCCTTCATTGCTGCAGCTATGTAGTGGACGTCTGCTGCAAGCAAAGTTCCCTGTCCACTACACCTTTAAAAGTTCTGTTTTGGAGGTGGGAGATGCAGGGGAATCGGTGCACGAGCAGCAGTGCCCACAAGACCCTGATGGCTGGGATTAGTGAGTGGAAAGAGGAGTAACCTACTTGCGGACACGCCTTTTGGAGGCTAGGAGCCAGATTTGCCCCGGTTTAATATTTCAGGCAGGCTCCTCTGCCGCCTCGTGTTATTACTTCATGAGATTACTAAGGCTATGGCCACCTCTTCGTGATAGGCACATCTTTTACTTTAGCGTCTCTTTAAGGGGGGACACGGGACTTAGAAGGCCAAAAATTGCAAAAAAATCGACTTTTTGAAGCTGACATTTTCAAAATCTGCGCCTATTTTTGCACTTATCTGAGAAGTTTCTAGCTTCTCGCCTCATTATTTCTGGCACAAAATCAATTTACAACATCCTTGTGAGATGAATGTGAGCGCAAATTGACGCTAAAATCGCACTTTTTCCGCGCCAAACTGTTGCCGTTACACACGAGCTATTGTGTTCATCTTGGTCTCGTTTGGAAGGGTCGTTCTTCATCTTCAATTTCCGGCCACCGCTGGCTCACCTTGCTCATTGGTTTTTTAGCAAAAACACGTCATCGAGAAGCACTAGCGCGCAATTCAATTGGCTGCTTGGGGCACGTGACCAAATTTAGGCATCCGATTGGCCAAGGGGCACTTTCGGCGTCTGCTTCACCATCGTGACGCGCACGGACATGCGCCATTTTGTCATGGTGCTACTGACTGCTTGCGGCAGTAAAGAAGTTCCCTGCTACAGTAATTTGTGAAGTGGGTTTGGCGGTGCTTCGTTCGCTGTGAACTTCAGAAAGATCCCCGCTATGGCTCAGGACAACGAGAATAACGAACTCAACGCTGTCAACGGCGGTCGCCGACTCACCCACCGGTGTAGGCCTAACTCACGTAGGAGACACGTTGGTTGCCGACAACGTTACTGAGAACGGCTGTGTTTTGCAGCCTCATGAGTTAGAGGACGGCAAGTAAAAAGCAGAAGTGAAGCTACCAGAGATATCAATTTTTGTAGTGACGGAACGAAAGTGCAGTCTTATCGCTAAACCCGCCGATGTTGTAGTTCCCCCCGCCTGACGAAAGAACCTTGAACTGCGCGATGGGTCGTCAGAGTGGAGTATGCCGCGCGTCGACCAACAACAGAAAGTCAATCCATTCGCAGTGAACATGCTCGCGACCCTCGCAATGGAGGCTACTGGCAACATGTAGACTGCTTTTAACGACGTGTTCGCAACGTTCTTGTGATCTCCGCTCGAAAATGCGGCAGTCTTATGTGAAAAGAAAACTAACACCTCGGCACTCGTGTAGCCTCGAAATTGATGAGCGAGGGAGCAACTTTGGTTCGCGACACTTAGGGGTAACTTATTCTGGACAAGCCGGAAAACATCGCCGTGTTATTTGACGGATCGTGGATGACGCACGCACATTTGTCGCACATCGCCGTCAGTACAGTCACAGAACTGATAAGCGGCCTCGCGGCAAACGAGCACGCGGCGACAACTTGCTACAGGACTAGAAGAAACGACACGCTCATACAAACAATCATTCCTATTATATTCCCACTGCATATTAATTGACTAAAAGTATGTGTGCCATGATATTTTTCCCTCGGAACGGCGAAATTAAGTTTTAACAGCATTATTCTCGAAGCACAGATTTTCAACACTTTCTTTTGCTAGTTCGGTAAAGGCGGACCTAAGACAGCTAGAGCTGTAATTGTTTTTGCACAATGTAGCTAAATGTACTCAAAAAAACAATGCTGGGAGCCTATTTTTAATAATGGGCAGCTTCAGTTTCTTTATTTTAGTATAAAAATTTCTGTATTTGGTTACATGCAATGAACTTTACTGTGCTGTAATTCGAGAAGTACTCGTTCAATTTTTGATCAGCTTGCAGCATTGCACTCCTTAGGCTTTCTAGCATTAATTTATATGTCAATGGCTATGTAATTTTAAGTGCATACATTTTTACAGTTAAAAATGTTAGAATTCTTTGTTTTCTTCATTTTCTCAAAATGGCAATTTTGTACGCCCTGCATGAAAATTACTGCAATATATCTGAAACTATTACAGATAGCAAAATATTTTATTTTGCAGCATGAAGCTATATGTTTGAAGCACACAACATAGGAAGCAGATTTTGATTTCTCTTGATGCAAGTTTTTCAAACTAGTCTTTTGTGTGACCACACAATGGCCACATTCAGGGCTGTGAAGTTTAGTGTACTGTAAAGTAAGAAATAATGACCCATTCAAAAAAGTGCTTCTTACGTTGCATGTCTTATGCTTTCTACTGTCGATCCCTATGTTACTTATAAATTTTTGACAGGTGGTTATTTTTCTATTATGGTAAGAACAATAGAAATTGTTATCTTGATTATTTAATTAACTAATAAAGCTACAGAAAAAATACCTACATTTTTAGAATCCGGAGAACAAACTAAGTAAGCATGCCAGCTTCTGTCGCACTTGGTTAAAAAATAAATGAGAGAGCCCTAAGAACCATGTCCCCCCTTAATGCAAAGACCGATTCCCTGTTAATGCTTACCATTGGCACTGTAAAAATACTGAGCTGCATGCAGCTCAGTATTTGCGAAACTTTTTCCCACCTAATGACGCGCCCCGTAAATGAGGTGTACTGTGAGTGGCAGAGGCGGAAACCCAAAGCACAACTAGCACTCTTCTAAAGCTGGGGTCGGCAGCCTTTTGAAAAGAAGGGCCGAGTTGCATGAGGCCGACTCGGCAGTGGCCGAACGACAAATAAAGAGAAGTGCGGATTTGTTGAACTTATTATATACACAAAACTGGAATACAAATCATCTATTTTCAGCACACCTGTCACAAGGTTGGAATACACAAACATAGGTTACAAGAAAATCCCGTTTGAGGTGAAAACTGGCACATTGGTTTTCAGAAAAGAAGTGGTAAGGGGTTCAAGTGTGTGACTTCTGACAAAGGCTACAGGTTGCCGGCCCCTGTCCTAAAGAAGTGGCTTACCTGAAAGAAGAGCAGCTCGGTGGAGCCCCGAATGCGGCCCAGCAGGTGGGAGAGCACGGTGAGCGCCGTCTTCTCCTTGCGGTGGACACAGATAAGGGACAGGGCATTCCACAACCACATAGTGCGGGGCCCACAGCGAGTGTGCCGCAACCAACTGCACAGGTCGCCCAGCCGGGCCTCGAGTGCCGATAGCAGCGGTATCTCAGCCGCACCGGCAAACACCCGCTGCTGCATCTCGAGCAGGACGTTGTCTAGCACGACCCCGGCCGCACTGGGCACCTGCATTCACACATCAGCAGGCAACAGACAATTTAATTTATTTATGCATAAAGTGCTCAAGATTGGGCGAGTTGGTACTTGAACTGGTCAAGTGCATTACAGGACAGAGCACTCCATCCCCTTGTGTCAGTCTGCTCGGCTATTTCCTCTATACCAAAATAGAGTGGATGCCATCAAATAACATTGAGTATTGGTGTCTCCCCTACTTTTACAGTTGAAGAGGTTTTGAGGCTGCTCGGCCCAAAACCCAGCAGCAAAGACGCAGAGCAAGACAAAAAACTTTGTTTATTCCTTTAAGCCTTGACCGCAACTGCCTGCTGCCAGCAGCTGCCGCGTGCCACGAGCGTACCCGGGATCATCATTGTTTTCTTCTTCTGCCTCAAATCCGCGCACTAACGGCCGCTGCTCTCATAAATTGGCGCCCAAATTGGGGCTCAGGGCCAAGGAGGTTAAAGTAATATTTGCTGGAGTGGAGGAGGCAGCCCTCGGGTGAAGCCGTGCACCGCCATCTTGTCATAGGCAGAAAGCACGCCTTCCTCAACTCAAGCGACTGCGGGTGCGCAGATGTTCCTCATGTTCGCCAGCGTTGTAGCGTCTGGACGTTGTAATAGATACCTAGCACCTTTTTTAAGGCTACATAGGTCACGGAGCAAGAATTCTTAAGGACGCGAAACTGCGCTCGCTCGGGCGCCCTGAAAACGTCACGAAATCGGGCGCAGCACTTACGTTCCCTCTGTCGTGAAACTCCACTAGTGGAGAGGAAAAATGTGCCCGTCGCTCTCATGACACTCGCGTTCAAGGCCACTCTGCTCCGATTCGCCGTTCGCACTTCACGTCCAAGTGGGTGTGTTTTCCGCGTCCTCGCCGGCTCCAAATTTTAACGTGACAGCTTTAAAGAGCTTATCTCGCAGAAAGGTCGGCGTTGTCGTTGGGAAAAAAAATTAGCGTTGTCCGTGACTGTGAAATTGACACAGATGCAGATGTCTTCGGTTCTAGGTAGAAATTGCCCACACGCATTCTTCATTGCATGCACCTGTATGACCACCGAGCTACAACACTCCTAGAAGCTGCTTCGAAATAAAACATGTCTATATGTCATGTAACATGACGTGGCAGAGTCGCCGTAGGACTTAAAGTTAACCTTAAAACCAAATTTTCCGCAGGTCCAGATGATATACCTAATGTTTTTTTGAAAAGATATGCCGAAGCGTTAGCACCTTTCATACTCGTAAATTTCAAATGTCTCCCAGTCTCCTTGTCTTCAGCTACACTGCCTAATGATTGGCTTTCGGCACGTGTTGTACCCGTACTAAAAAAAGGTGACCCCACACTAGTAACAAATTATCGCCCTATATCACTAACCTCGTCGTGTTGCAAACTACTTGAACATATTGTTACTAGAAGGAGACCGACACGGAGGGGTAGTCGCAGATGTATTTTCAGCCGGTTAAGCGAGCAGCGCCAGCCACAGAGATTCGCTCGCGCGAGTCTATATGCTTTTCTTCTTCGTCTCCATGCACTGGCACGTAGCATGACCCCGGTGGTGGAGGCACCGTCTCGGTGCTTTAATGGTCATTATCTGACGCATTCTTGTAGGGCTTGATCCGCGATACGAGTACAATATGGCTGGACCGCACAGCAGATGATGATGGATAGATGGGGCTGATCTCATAGGTGACAGGTGTTGCTTGACGCAATATAGGGTAGGGTCCCGTATAATGAGACAAAAGTTTTCTGATAGGCCCAGCCGACGATGAGGGGACCAGAATAAAACGAGGGTACTGGGAGTGAAATGTACGTCTCTATGTTCCGCATCGTACCGACGGCATTGGTTGGTTTGCAACACCACCAGCCGAGCGTGAGCGAGCTGACGGGCATGATCGACTTGCGCACTCGCGTCGCGGGCGTACTCGCTGGTGGACGAGGTGTGAGCTGAGATGACTGTGTCCAGTGGTAAAGCCGGCTCTCTTCTGTACAATAAGCAGAACAGCGAAAAGCCTACTGTGTCGTGATGGGATGAATTATACGCGAAAGTTGCGTAGGGTAAGGCAAGCTCCCAGTCTCGGTGGTCGGGCGACACGTACATAGTGAGCGTATTTGTTAGAGTACGGTTAGATCGTTCCGTGAGGCCGTTTGTTTGAGGTTGGTAAGCGGTTGTCAGTGCATGGAACAAGAACGCAGAATTTAGGCGATGACTTGGGATATAAATGTACGGGCACGGTCTGTGAGGCGTTGTCTCGGAGTACCGTGAATCAATATAACGTGCCGTAACAAGAAGTCAGCGACGTCGGTTGCACAGCTGGTTGGTAGAGCTCGCGTAATAGCGTAGCGTGTAGCGTAGTCTGTAATCACGGCTATCCATTTGTTTTCCAATGTTGATGTGGGAAAAGGACTAAGCAGGTCTAACCCAACACGGTAAAATGGTTCCGCGGGTATGTCGATTGGTTGAAGATGGCCAGCGGATAGCAATGACGGTGCTTTACGACGTTGGCATAGGTTGCACGTGGCAACGTATCGGCGTACCGAGTGAGCAAGGCCTGGCCAGAAGAAACGGCGCTGGACGCGCTCTTACATGCGGGATACGCCAAGGTGTCCTGCCGTGGAAGCGTCGTGAAGTTCGGTGAGAACACGGTGGCACAAATGCTTAGGCACAACAATGAGAAGGTCAGGCCCGCCTGGTCGGAAATTGCGGCGGTATAGCACACCTTTTTGAGTGACAAAGTAGCGGACAGAAGCATCATTTGGGGAGGATTCTGTGCGGCTGATGATGCCAAGCAGCACTGGATCACGCTTCTGTTTTTCCGCAATGTTAAGAAAGTTGGACACTGACAAAACAGAGTTCTCCGTGGGATCGTCAGTGTCCTCAGGATCGTCGACAGGGTACCGGGAGAGGCAATCGGCATCATGGTGTAGACGGCCAGATCTGTAGACCACCGAATATGAAAACTCTTGCAGGCGCAAAGCCCAGCGACCAAGGCGGCCTGATGAATCTTTCAGAGAGTTGAGCCAGCAGAGCGCGTGGTGGTTGGTGACTACCGAAAATGGGCGCCCGTATAGATAAGGTCAGAATTTCGTTTCTGCCCATACAAGAGCCAAGCACTCATACTCTGTGATCGAATAGTTACGTTCAGATGCGGATAAGAGGCGGCTGGCATATGCAATAACGCAAATGGCCATGTTGTGTCGGAGCCAGCACTGCACCAATGCCATGTCCACTTGCATCTGTACGTATTTCCGTAGGGGCAGCAGGGTTGAAGTGTGCCAGAATCGGAGGAGTAGTGAGAAGAGCAATGAGGAAAACGGGACGTCTTTCTTGAGGAGCTGCGTAAGCAGCCTCGCTATGTGCGCAAAATTTTTCACGAAGCGTCGGAAGTAGAAACAAAGTCTTATCAAGCTGCGTACATCCTTCACAGATCGTGGTACAGGAAAGGTTTTGAAGGCTCTGATATTTGCCGTGTCTAGTTGTACACCGTTGGCGTGTACTAAATGGCCAAATACTGTGATTTGATGGCGTCCAAAGTGACATTTCTACGAGATGAGCTGCAGGCCAGCGCGACGGAAGATGCCTAAGATGGCTGATAGGCGCTCTATATGAGTTTAAAATGTTAGTGGAAAGACACATCGATCTTGTTATTAGTGGATGTTAGTGGAAAGAAGATTCGATCTTGTTATTAAACTAGAATCGATTAATGTTCCTGCTTATTTAGTTAATTGGCTGGCTGCCTATCTGACCAACCGCAGTCAGGTCGTTCCTATTAATGGCCACTCATCTGAGAAACTACCAGTCTCATCTGGTGTGCCTCAGGGCAGTGTCCTTGGCCCCTTATTATTCTTGATATTCATTGATGACATAACCAACGAAATTCATTTTCCTATTCAAATTAGATTATTTGCAGATGATTGTGTACTTTATAATAATATTAAAAGCCATGAAGATCAAGTATCGCTCAACAATAATCTCCAAAGTATTTTTTCACGGTGTGATTGGTCGAGCATGCAGTTATATGTCAGTAAAACAGTGTATATGTCAAAAACTAGAAAGAAATCTAAAAAACTTTCTTTTGGGTACAAGCTGGGCTCCGAAATGCTTGCAGAAGTGAAGGAGTACAAGTACCTGGGAATAACAATAACTAACAACCTTAATTGGAATATGCACATTACCAACATATGCAACTCTTCGTTCAGAAAACTTAGTTTTCTCAGACATAAACTAAAGGATGAACCCTCTAGTACAAGGTTAAGGGCTTATATATCACTAATTCGGCCTAAACTCGAATATGCCAGCATTGTCTGCGATCCGTACACAAAAATTATTATCGATAGACTGGAAATGATTCAGCGTAAAGCTGTCAGGTTTATTTATTCTAAATATCATAATAGTGACTCTCCCTCTAGTTTAATGATGCAGAATAGTATTCAAACACTACACCTGCGCAGGAAAATAGCGACTGAAATTCCTGGTTGCACTGAAAAATAAACTCTTTGCCATAAACCCGAGTCCTTATTTATTGTCGCCTAGTGTTCGAACAACACGGCATCGTTATGCTGACTCTCTAACACCCTATCGGACACGCACTAATCTTTTCAAATATTTCTTCTTCCCACGAACTATCACCGACTGGAACAACCTACCATTTCCCCCCTTACATAAGGACAATTTCTAAGAACATGTTACTATTTGAACTTCTGACCATGATGTACCAATTTTTATAGCTTCATTATATGTTATCCTTCTGTTTCTTGATCCTTAGTTTAAAAAGCCACTGTCACTTGCCTTATCTCATGCCTCTTTGTGAATATATGTCTGACGTGCTTTTACCACATGGTATTATTTCAGTGTGTGAAAACTTTTTGTTTGATGTTTCCACTTTTTGTTGCTTCACCTAGGCGCACCACTTTTAAAGAAATTATGTCGTTTTAGCCTTATTTTATGCTGCAGTTTTTTTGTACATATGCCAGTGTTATTTTTTGCTGAGTATGCGATTTCTCTGCCTTCATTTGCTTTGTGTCTTTTTGCTCTTCCTGCTTGGGCCTACAGTATTTCATAAATAAATAAAATAAATAAATCAAAATACTCTCGCTCCCAGACTAGCCATAATTCGTTTTGAACTGCCAAGGCGGGCAACGTTCTGTATGGCGTTGCAAAAGTCGGTTGCCAGATTTAGGAGTATTGGCCCCTGCAGTTCCCGCTTTCCCGTACGGTTCCCCTGTAATCCGCTGAGTCTGTGCGGTCTGTTGACATGGTCATTTTATTTAGTGGCCACACCTCCTTTTTTCGCTGTACGTTCCATTCTAATATTGCAACAGGATAAAAAGGTGGGCAAGTTGGTAATTCATATTCATTCAGGGAACTGAAAGCACGGGAGGAGCACACACACGCGAAGCAAAGAGGAGTACTCATGCTGTGTGCCTCCTCTTTGCTTCGTGTGTGTTTGTTCCCCTTGTGATCCCAGTTCCCTGAACCATTCAAATATTAACAGATCGGCCTCAATCGGGCCTCGGAAGCAGAGAGTGTGCAAGTTCGGACTCGAAGTAGGGAACTCACGCACAACGAGGAATTTACCGGGGGAGCTGAAAGGCGTCGCAAAACCCCACACACAGCGTGGGCAGCATACATCGTTGTCACCAAAGTATGAGGCTATCCGCAGTGGAGAACTAATATCAACCACGTGGGTTCGTTAATGTTTTGGGAGAAGAACGGTTATTTGGGCTAGTAGGTTGGAATTAACGGTAATAAGAGCTGCAGCGCGAGCACAAAGGTGCTAGAAGAAAAGTGAAACGAAAGGCGAGGCAAGGAAAGCAAAGAGGACAACACGAGCGCTGTAGAAGAAAAGTGAAACGAAAGGCGAGGCAAGGAAAGCAAAGAGGACAACACGAGCGCTGTAGAAGAAAAGTGAAACGAAAGGCGAGGCAAGGAAAGCAAAGAGGACAACACGAGCGCTTTCCTTGCCTCGCCTTTCGTTTCACTTTCGTTTCACTCAAAAGTGAAACGAAAGGCGAGGCAAGGAAAGCAAAGAAGACAACACGAGTGCTTTGCTTGCCTCGCCTTTCATTTCACTTTTCTTCTAGCACCTTCGTACTCGCGCTGCAGCCCTTAATACCATGAATGTTCTGGGGCTTACTTCAAATTCCTAATCTGTTTACCTCTTTCTCATCTCTGTGTAACACATCATACACTTTCGATTTCTTTCCATCAAAAGCTCATCAGTTGCATTCCACGCCCATGTATTACTGCATGAATGTCTTCCTTTGCTGTTTCAATTTTGTGCAATCAAGTCTTTGCTTTTGTACGAGCATGAGGTTCACATACTTTTTACCTTTTCTTGCTTTTGCTTCGTTCACTCTCTAGAAAACAGGAGAACAAAATGTATGTTTCTCCGCGGCACCTGTGAGGTACTTGTGTATATAAGCAAAGAGCGCCTTACAACGTGTGAAAATGGTGTCTGGCCAAAGTGGTTCTCACCGCAGGCAGCAGTGCCGCGGAGAACTCGCTCGCGCCCGAGGCAATGTCCAAGATCTGGCTGAGGAAGCGCAGGTCCACCGAGCCGCTCTGCACTATGAGAACAACCGTCAGGCTGAGCAGGTCTCGCGTGCCCGGAATCTTGGCCGACTCCCATTTGCCCATCAGTGTGGACAGCTTGTTGAGCGTGTCGGCCGACACTGTAAAGACAATGCAAAGCCAGTCAAAATGTACTTCTGGCAGGCCTTGCAATGAAAAAAATGCAGCAAAACACTAGAGTTTGAATAGGCCCCATTAGCCAAAAGTAAAATTTGGTCATGCCCAACACTGGCAATCATTCGGCAGGTATGGAGTGAATACATGCAAAAACAAAAAGTAAGCCAAACTGCACAAAACAATAAAAAGGCCACATGCTGAGCTACAGTACAACATTGTGCTCAAAGCACTCCAAAAGTTCATGTTATGGCGTATTCGGTTGGCCGCTCTGGCCCTCAGGCTCAGAGTCGCCAGATGCAGAGGCAGCTCGCAATCGGAGTGAAAGAGGCAGCGTATCAACCAATTACATAGGCTTCGAGCGCTAGAGCAACACGCCTGTAGTGCCTGTAGCGCCACCTATAATGTCTGTAGCGCCAGCGCGGGATGTTGGCGGGTAAACATTGCTGCGTCGCGTCAACTGATGGTGGCGATCACTTTAGTGGACATATCTGACATGACTGACCTTTGTTATATGCCTTTTTTCTCTCTGACATGACTAAATGTAGTGAAAGCCTTCTGAGCCCAGCACATAAATCATGCGATTGTCCTCGTCTGAGCTGCTATCTTCAAGGCAAGTCACGAGGCTGACAGCGAGCTGCTGTAACGACAACACTATTGACGTTTTGTCCACCTTCGATAGCCGCCTCGTTATTGACATAGTGCACTTATGGCTCTGTAGATGTATACCACTTTCCTTAATGCACGCTCGCGTTCCTCACCTCGTTCACCTACCTGAAACCACATGATTGGCTGGCTTACTCTGGGTATTTCTGAGAGGCATAAATTGTTTCGGGATGAAAGAGAGCAAGTCAGAACGGTCAGGACCTACAAAAAGTCATGACAACGCACCGAGCCACGCCATCTTTGCCGTCACAAACTTGCTGACCAAAAATGGCACCGCACAGCTTCCCCCACTCACAAATGTCGCCAGGTCAATTGTCTTCCTCTTTCCCAGACGGAAAACAGTCATCAAAGTGCAGCAAGAAGTCATAACGACGGAGCTGACGAGCATTCCACAGGGTTCGCGCACAATACTTTGCCATAAATTTAAGGATGCAGAAAGGAAAAACTGAAAGAGTGTTGACTTAATGTAATGTTATTTTTGCAAATGACTTTAGAAAGGAGCTCTGCTTTCACACTGATGTCTTCTTCAAGAGCAGCTCCTCTTTTTCTTTGACTTTGACAAGACATGCCATGTTATTTTTCGCTTTGACGTCTTTCAAAAATCAACCTACCAACTCCAGCATGTGCTCCAGAGTTTTTTTTTTTTTTAGCATTGTCTTCTTCTTTTGCCAGCTCTGTAGCTCGACAGTTTTCAAGGCCGCAACTTGCATCTTCCATGTGTACGGCATATGTATGCACTCTTGACTTCACTACTTTCGACAGTGCAACAACGTCAAGAAGAACACCGTGATTTTTTACAGTCTCACAGATGACTCGTTGAGAGATATATGAGAGCTATGTCGTATTTTCAACCATGATCAGCTTTTTTTAAACTGAAGCCTCGTTCTACTGAACAGCTAAGCAAAAGAAGGACCTTCAGCACTTCCCATATGCTTGAGAACAAGAGGTCATGCTTCATAAGACGCACGAAGAGACAATCAATCCATTCACGATCTCTTTCACAGTTTTTTAGTTCATGCCGTTTTTCTTGGCATAAATGAATATAATGTGAACACACAATACCTCTCTTCTGCTCAGAAAGAAGCTTGTTGTCAATTAAACTGTTAAGAACAACCTTCAGCTCCAGCTGACATTCGATACATTCCAGCTCAATTCCAGCTGACATTCTTATATAGGCATCCAAGCATTTTTTTTTACATTTTTGCACATCTTGTTAGAAAAAACAATACCGTGTGCAGTTCTAAAAAATTTCGCGCTGCTACATAGTTAGGGCCAAGATGTGCTCCGGGGCCTTTTTGTCGTGAGGAAACTTTCTGCAGCCAGTGCCTGTACACCACGCGATTTGTGGACCTCGCACGTAACCAGAATAACTGTAAGATTGTGCACTAAGTTCAGCAGCTACGCACTTGCGACAAAGGAGACAACTTGAGGTTATAAACAAAACGAACCCATGAGTGCCTGCTGATGTCTCAGGCTGACGCAAAACACCGTCACCAAAAACCTAAAACCTGAACCTGAGACGACGTCATTCTCGAACTCTAAGCTTTTCCTCATTCAATTCAATTGTGAGTGTTTTTTTACAGCACAGGTGCGCACCTATGCGTGCATGATGATGACGTCATCAGAGCAACTAGTGACACCAGTTGCGGCCCTGTGTCTGATATAACAACACAAGCGGAACCAAAGCTGCTGGAAACTGGCTGAGAAGGCCACTTTGACACTTTGAACATGTGGCGTACCTTCGCAAATATTTGTTGTAGAATAAGTTTTCCTAGTAACAGCTCTCAATTGAACAGCTGGCATAAATTTCTGGCAATTATTACTGCTCAACACTGTTAGATTGCGAAGCTGACATCTTAATTTGACATTTGACTTGCAAACATTCTTTTTATTACAGAACTTTTCTGTTGCTGTGGCCCAACCACGAGGGGCACGCACTTTTGTCAAGTTCGCCAGCGTAGTGCATTTTCTCACCAATGCTTCGCACAAAGGTATGTCAAACAAAAACGACTATCTTGCTAAAACGAGCAAATTCAAATCGATTCTGGAAGCTTAGTGGCTGGACTAATTACTATAAAGTGCTGTGGGCAAAAGAAACAAATTAAACATGCCAAAATCGACAATACAAGGCGTCGATCTCTGGTGATCGATATGAATAGGCGTAGTTGTTACATGTGTAGATTAACTGATGGCCAGGCGGTAGTGACAACCGTGAAAAGTAGGCCATCAGGCCCGCGAAGAACATGAGAACATCTTGAGCCCTCAGCCCAAAACGACCGTATTTTATTATTTCCCAAAACGACCACCCCGCTGCTGTGCCAGGCTTGCACAGCTCAACACAACTATCAGCGCCGCGTGGGGGCGCTGCATTTGAACCAACATTGTAACACTCTTCCCCTCTTAGGAGGAAGACTACGGGGAGTACCTATTCACCGGTTTTCTAGTTCTTGTGCCACGTCGCAACTTCGGCGTGCTAGGCGTAGGCACGACAGAGTCACTGTTCACATGCATACCCCTGTTGAGCGCAGTCCCGTCACTCTCTGTGGTACAGCTACTCCCAGAGAAGCTAGTTCCAGGTAGCTGTTCCTGATGAGGCACTTCTGGAATAGCTGGCGCATGAAGCGGTGGCTCCAACTGTGGTGGAGCTGCCGCGATAGCAGTTTCAGGAGAGGCCAATGTTTCTGTCTGCACAAGGCGCAAGTGGTCGCTGTGTCGGTTTCCCAAGGTGCCATCTTCAAAACGGACACTGGCTGATGATGGAGTGACGTCCACGACACTGGCAGGCACCCAGGGTGTGCCCCTGCGAAAGTTACGCGCGTACACATCATCACTTGGCTGCAGTGATGGAGCCTGCCGGGACCCTCTGTTAGCATACAACTTCTGCTTGAATTATTTTAGAAATACAGCTGTCTACAGGCTTGGCCTGAGGTCATCCAACAGAGTCTTGAAAATTCTTCCTGTCAAGAGTTCACATGGTGGCCGACCAGTCACTTCATGTGGTGTGGTCCTATAGTGGAACAGAAACCTGGAGATCTGCGTTTGGAAGTTCCCAGAACCAGACTTCTCGAGTTTCTTCTTCACAGTTTGTACAACTCTTTCAGCTGCACCATTTGAGGCAGGGTGATACGGCGGTACAAGCATGCGGCGTATTCCATTTCGAGTTAAGAACTCAAGGTACTGGGCACTGGTGAAGGCAGGACCGTTGTCTGAAACTATGACATCAGGCAGGCCATGCTGAGCGAATGCAATTCTCAATGCAGAAATGATAGCTTCTGCAGATGTAGAAGACACAGGAAAGACTTCTATCCACTTTGAGAACGCATCCACAATAACCAAGAATGTGTGACCTAGAAATGATCCCCCAAAATCAAAGTGAAGCCTTGACCAGGGTCGCTGTGGAAAAGGCCACGGCGTCTGCTGAACTGGCTGTGCAGCTCGATGTTGAGTCTGGCACGTAGCGCAGCTCTTTACGCTGTTGGCAATATCATTGTCAATGCCTGGCCACCAAACATGGCTCCTGGCAATCATCTTGCTCTTCTCGATACCCGGGTGGCTGGCGTGAAGAACACCAAGAACTTGGGTCTGCAATGACTTTGGGATCACTACTCTTGATCCCCAGAGTAGGCAACCCTCATGGAGAACGAGTTCTGAGCTTCTGGTATTGAAAGGTTCTCACTCTGGTCCTACTGGAAGGCTTTCTCCTTTCAGAACTGCAAGAACAACATGGCCCAGAAGTGTGTCATTTTGTGTGGCTTGGGCCACAACACCTGGTGAAAGGAGTCTCGGATATGCCTCCCCTAGCAAGAAGATTTCAGCAGGTCGTGGTAATGCAGTAGTGTCAGTTGGGAGAGGCAGTCAACTAAGAGCATCAGCGTGGCCGAGCTCTTTGCCAGGCTTGTATACAAGTTCGTACTTGTAAGCAGAAAGCTTCAGAGCCCACCTGACCACTCGAGGCGAAGCTTGCACGGGAACAGGCTTGTTGGCACCCAGCAGACCAAGAAGTAGCTTGTGGTCAGTGCGTGCTTCGAATGAGATGCCCCACAAGTACTGGTGGAACCGATCCACACCAAACACTAAGGCAAGTGCCTCCTTGTCGAGTTGACTGTAGTTTTGTTCTGCTTTTGACAAGCTCCTCGAGGCAAAAGTAATGGGATGTTCCCCACCATCAGCATCTTTGTGCGCTAGAACTGCACCTATACCAATAAGGTGATGCGTCACAGCTGAGGCAAACAGGCCTGGCAGGGTTGAAATGCACTAGAACTGGAGCTGATGTCACCAAGTGCTTGCAGGCATTGAATGCATCTTGTTGTTTATGTCTCCA